AAAAAAAAAAAAAAGAAAGAAATTGGGACTCAGGTGGTGAGGGCATACAGAAAAGGCACCTTTAAGATCTAAGACTGTAAATAATAAAGTAGAAGGAAATGTTTTATTTAATCTTAGAGCTTTTCTCCAAGGAGCAGGAGACAGAAGACTTGTACCCATTGAAACTTAGCATAGAAAGGTCTGAAGGTGACATTTTTCTTTCTTTTTTTTTTTGGAGAAGGGTGTGCCAGAAAGAGACAGAGACAGAGAGACAGAAAGCGAGAAATCACCCCCACGGGGGGGGTGGGGGGGGAGGTGGCCATGCTGTAATCCCTTCTCCTCCATTCTCCTCTCAGGATCTTGGACACACACTCCCCGTGTGAGTTTAAGCCACTAGGCCCGGAGCTAGAACCACGGTTGACTACAAGAGAGTCCAACGACATAGCTATTACGCCAATTGCTGGTCCCTGAAGGTGGCAGTTTTTTTTTTTTCCTCAACATAACTGTGGTGTTAACTTGTAAAGAATATCTCAGCTTATATAGACAGATGACATACAACATACATGTATACACACACACACACCCCGACAACAAGTCTCGTAAGTAATCTCTTGGAAAGTTCTTTATATTTTTTTGTTTCCTTAAAAGAAGTTTTAGAGTTTAACGCTTAGGTGTTTACTTCTTAGCTCAGGCTTTGTTAGAAAGAAGAGTTTTTAAATATCCTTGAATATTTTTGGCAAACAGAAGGATCTGTGTAGCTGAGAACTTGCAATTATCCCCATAATTGCAAGTCTTAAATTGTTCTTGTTTAGTATCTGCTCAAAGGTCAAAGAAGCAGGTTGAAATCTAGCTATCTATTTATTAGGACTGTCAGGAAAACAATTACCCAATTCAGTTTTATTAATTTGTTTAAGCTCAGTAAGAGAAAGAAGGCTTGTGAACTTGTACAGGACTGAATTTTCTTTTTCCAGACTCAACTGAAGGACGAACTAAAGAGGGAGCTGTCTCTAGGACCCCTGAATAAACAGGTAGACTCAAGAATGGAGGACTAGGTGGAGCAGTTTCTAAGGAGCTAGAAAGCTGGCAGTTCTTGGTTCTTTTTTTTTTTGAGAGGTTTTTTTTTTTGCTATAGGGCACATGCGCTATAGATAGAAAGCAAGAAATCACCCTCCAGGGGGGATGACCATGCCATAATCCCTTCTCCTCCATTCTCCTCTTGGGATCTTGGGCACACATGCACATGCGCCTGGTGTGAGTTTAAGCCACTGGGTCCGGGATGCGAACCACGGTTGGCTACATGGGAGTCCAGTTACATAGCCATTACGCCAACTGCTGGTCCCAGTTCTTCAGTCTTTTATGAGCCTGGGGAGCCTGGCTGACTCTGAGTCCATGGAGAAGCGTGAGTTAAGATGGAATAAAGGGTACCTGTGTCTCTCAACACATAAAAACACTACGTGTGGAATATTTCCCAGGCGTTTACAAAGAGATCTAATGGCTGAATAGTATTACAGTTAATATTTCATCTTCTAACTTGTATTGTGGCCATGCCTGAGTGTCAAGGAAAATTAAATGTCTTTTCTCCACATTTGTGAGTCAAAGGAACCTAAGTTTTAGAGGGCAATCCAAAGGAGCCAGTCCACTGCAGGAGGCGTGGATGGGATATCTCTCCTCTACAAAAACAAAGGGGGAGAAAAGGCGTCCCTCCTATGCCGCCCTATACGGGAGACAGCAGATGTAGCCAGACCTCCTCTATTGCCCGGAGAAGTAGGTGAGTGGTGTCAATAGCCGGAATCAGCCGCCGGTCCTACCCATACTCCATCACCAGTCCTAGTCACTAGAGAGGGGTCGTGAGGGTCCGAGGAGAGGAGGGTGAGCACCAATGTCTCCCCACCCCTTCACTTTAACCCTCCCACACATTGCGGCCGGGCCCACCCAAGAAAATGGCCATCAGTGTGCCTCCTCTAAGCAAAATTTCCTGCAGTGTCAGTGCCTTTGTTACTACTGTCCCCGCGTGGACTATGAGCTTTGGTTGGACATAACTTCCCATTGAGTCCAACCGCCATGGTTTTGGATCTACAGGAGCCAATAAAAATCTACATATATGGCCACCTATTCTCATATTGCCACCAGAGGGACAGGAACTATTATAACATGTTCCCCACAAGCTGCTCCAAATTCAAAGAAGGTTATTATTTCCCCCCCCCCAGCTTGGTCCCCCTCTGAGAAACTCACTTAAAATCTGCATACAGTAATGTTGGGCTGTGTTAGGAGCTTTCTGAAGTGAGACTATTAGGTCTTGGAGAGAATATGACAAATGAGTTTCAAAATCCTTAAAGAACAGGGTGCTGGATGTATTGTGAAGGGGGTTGTGGCCTAAGCACAACTCTTCTGGTTCAATTTGTAATTTGTGAAATTCTGGTATGGCACTAATTCGTCCCGAGGGCAGGGAGGGCTGCAATTTAACAAACGGCTCTACATAGATAGTATATATGGTCAGGACACAAGGTGGGGGAAAGAGCTGGGAGGGCATTTGAATATCTCTTAAGCATTCCTGTTAGACTAAGCTGTACCAACTGCATGCAGAGGAAGAGGGAATGCTTACAAGTCTTTTTAAAATAGAGAGTGAGGCTGGTATCTATCTGAAAGCGAACTGGAAACAAATGGAAAATCTACCATACTTTTTATCTCAAGTGATAGTAAAGAGCCACCGTAAATTTATGGAAATGTCCTGGCCTCAGGTCATCAGTCAGGAGACTGATTGTGAGCCTGAGGAGGAAGGCTACTCTAACAGAGGATCAGAGAAGGCCAGAAGGAAGAAAAGAGAGGATTCTGCCCTGACACCCACGGGGCTGTGGGGGATGACTTCAGATCCCTAGGACCTTCAGAATGCACCAGAGAGTAGCCCTGGTCATGCACCATCAATTGTCCCAAGAACATTCACCTTCCCACGCGGGCTTAGGATTCCAGAAAAGAAACCAAGTCACAAAACAGCTAACATTCCCAACACCTGTGTTTATTTTTTTTTAAGGTTTTTTAAAATTTAACTTTATTTATTTGAATTTGTCCGGCTGGGGGAGGCAGGGAGATAAAGTGAGAAAGCAAGCTGCCAGGTCCAGGACTCGAATCGTGGTTGGCCATGTGGGAGTCCAGCACCCTTAGCCACCATGCCACCTGCTGACCCCCAACCCCTTTGATAGCACTGAAGGATTGACTGAGTGCTTCTTGGCAAGTCCGTCATTGTAGTTTAAGACTGGCGACCACCCTAATGATGTTTAAATGGCCGTCCAGTGCCCAGTTTTCTTAGATTTGATAGAGTCACTTCTAGGGACGAGAGAGTCCTGGGAAAAAAAAGATAGAATCCGCTTTTTTTACCTCTCCTTCGAGTTGGAAGAAATTTGAGTCACGGCACCAAATATGAAGTGGGAGTGCTGGAAAATCAGACCCAATACCCATGTTACTTCTGGGAGTGCTGGAAAATCAGACCCAATATCAATGTTACTTCCTGTCCTGTGCTCATGAAGAATTCGAGATGTGGAAAAAAGTGGGATTTATTAGGGAAGGAGAAAAAGCTTCCAGTGTAGTGGAAGGGGCCCGAATGGGTTGCCAAAGAGCGGCTGGAGGCCAGTTTGAGCAATGGACCTGCTCTCTGATAAGGAAGTGGGCTTTAGAAAATGGCTGCATGGTACTCTGAGAGATTTATTACCCTATTCTTTGAGGGATCAGCAGACCAGAGCATCTGGTACTTCTTGTCTGAAGACAGTTACTGAATAGAAACTTGCCCTTAGCCACAGTTCCTTGAGTCTCAATGCAGTCAGCTTTTTGGCTGTGAAAACTTAGCCACTGTGACTCCATCTTGGGCCTTTGCTGTGTGTGCTCAATATCCCTAGTTTCTGTTCTGCCTTACTAGCAAGGAGCTAAATTCTTTAGAGTCATGTAAAAGGGATATATATATATATATATTACATTTATCAGACCATAAAGATAAAATAGAGACTTCATTAAAAAGAACAACAAAGCAGAATCTCAATAAAATCTACTTTTAAAAAAAGTATGAAGGTCAAGCACAATTTTGCATTTTCCCATGGTGTCTACTTTGATATTTAAAAATGCCAAACGTAAAATTTGTTCTTTTTTTTCTTTTTTTTTGCGTCTCTGATTTGCTGGTGGCCTGAACCTTGTGCTTTATTCTCCGTGTTGGATAATTCACCAGGCTGCTGACCAATGGTAACAACATTACCTGTTTTTATTTTCAGTTTGCAATAGTGTGAGTGCTTGCCAGAGAGAAACAGAGAGCGAGGGGGGCGAGGGAAAGAACACGGCCTGTATGGCACGGTCACGCGCAATCCCTTTTCCTCCATGTCTCCTTTTGGGATTTTGGGCATGCACATAGGCCCTTGTGTTTTTCAAACCAACAAGTCTGGGACTTGAACTGTGCAGCTGGCCTTGTGAGATCTCACTGCCTTAACCACCACCCCACTGGCTGGCCTATGAGATAGGATTTATTATTCCCATTTTACAGGAGAAGAAAGCAATGTTCAGTGATAGCTCTGAAACAGCACCATTCTGCATAGGAAGCTTGGAAGAGAACATCCAACATATTAAGAGAAAGTATAACAAACCAATTCTTTTAACTGTGACTTTAAAACATAAGTATTCATTTAATTTTATTTATTCATCCTTATTTTTTTAAAGAATTATTTAACTTTATTTGTTCTTTCATTTATTTTTAATTAGACCAGAGAGAGAGAATAAAAGAAAGCCACCAGGTGTGGGACTCAACCCATAGTCGGCCAGTGGGAGTGTCCAGCGCCTTAACCACCATGCCACCGACTGGTCCCCATTAATCATTATTATTATTATATTTTAAAAGAGTAGACTACATCTTTATTATACAATATTTTATTTTTCTTTCTTTTTCTCTTTGAGAGGTTTTTGCTATAGGGCACGTGCGCTTGTCAGAAAGAGAGAGACAGAGAGACAGAAAGAGAGAAGTCACCTCCCGGTGGGATGGCCACACCACCATCCTCCTCTCGGGATCATGGGCACGCATGCACATGCGCCTGGTGTGAGTTTAAGCCACCAGGTCCAAGACTCAAACTGCAGTCGATTGCATGGGAGTCCAGCGATGTAGCCCTTGTGCCATCCACTGGTCTCAGCAAAAGCTCTTCTATAATGTTTAATTACACTGTAAGTCTTATGAGAAGTGTGGAGACAACCCCGTTAACTCACCAGAATATAGAACTCGGTCTCACAATTTCTGGATACCTTTCAAACCTTTTCTTCAATAATTTAATTCTGAAAATAACCATATGACTAGGAGAAGAGACCTGTCCACCATTGAACTTATCTGTTATTTCCTCCTTACTCTGAGCCGAATAGCATGACAGAGCAAGGCAAAGAGGCACACGATCAATTCTTAAGGTATTACACCAAAAAGGTCAGAGCTTCCACAGCGTGGCAACAGCTTTGCAGACGCCCACATCATGATAGTTGAAATAACAGAGCCTGGCAAAGGTTAAATCTAAGAGTGCCAAAAGGCCTGCCTTGGCAGCTTTCTGTGATGCATCCCCATGAACATAGTCAGTAACAACTTGTCCAAGATCCCAGTGACTATGGAGAGTGAGGACTGCAGCCAGTGAGCAGTCCATCACAGAGCAAGGATTCAGATAAGCAGCTGGAAGCAGGCCCAGGAGCCAAACATTGACAACCCTCTCACTAGTCCAGTGGAGAGATGCAGCCTTGGAACCAGAGTGGTGCTTTGGTGACAGGTGAATGTGCTGGACTCCCTGTGCTCTACACCATCCTAGGTAGGCTGGTCCTGGAGAAATGCAGAGATGGGAGCTGATCACTGGGGTTCACAGAACAGGGCTCGGCCTCCCTGGGCATTGCAAAGGACACTCAGCCTGCAGAGAAGCACCATCCTGTTCCTCAGGGCTTCTCATTATTATTATTCTTTAATTTGCCATAGAGAGGCACAGAGAGGAAGGGAATATGAGAAAGGAAACCACCAGATCCCAGGTCTTGAACTGTGGTTTGCCACGTAGGAGTCCAGTGCCTTAACCACCATAGCACCTGCTGGGCCCTTAACTATATTTTTTTTATAGAACTGTGTTTTAGTACAATTATCAGAAAAAAGCCTTTTAGATATCTTCAAGAAAATATACTTGCAAATGTACTTAGAGTAGCTGAACCAGTTGGTATTCATGAGAATATTTTCCACTTACATTTTGGAGATTTCCAAATACAACACTTAAAAATCCAGTCATACTTAAACTAAGGCAGCCTTTCTGACAGTTAATTGGCACTGAATAGACACTTTTAAAAATGAGTTTGTTTACTAGTTTATAGCAATAAAATCATGCCATCAGCACAAACAAAAAAGGGAAGAGAAAGGTTAAGAGCGTGTAAACCCCCTCCGCGTGTCCTCTCAGTGGCTGGCTGACTTGCTAAGCCGGGATTGGAGCACGGGCTTCCGGAGCCCTGGACTGGGGCTGCTTCCATGAGTTGAGGCTTTTTCTCTTTTGTGAAATCTCACGTGGTTCCCAGGTAGATACAGGGTGGAGCTGGGCTGCCCACTCTGAAGGTACCTCAGATGTCAAAGTGGATCCCACCAGCTGTGATGTGTCACTTGACCAGGGGGAAGGGAAGTTCTGGCTTAGGGAACTGCATGGTGTCTACCCTCTGTCCCCGCCACCCCCAGCTCTTCCTCCCAGCTGTGTTCAAGTGTGTTTTCGTGGGAAGCAGCAGTAGAGAAAGTATGGATTTTCAGAGCTACCTAGGCCTGGTGGCAAATCCTACCTCTGTCACTTACTTGCTGTGTGACCTTGATCCAAGAACCTCACCTCGCTGTACCTCAGCTCATTTTATCCATTCAATAATTCATATATTCAAATACATTTATTGAGGACTTACCTCATCACTGGAATTCTGGGTAACCAAGACAAGTCCGGTATCTCTAAGAGTTTCAAGTGTGACGAGGTGTTGAGGAGACAGACAATAAGTGGAGAAATGAATACATAATGTCACATGCAGGGACTATGAGGGAGTGCTAATAGTTGGCACAGTGGTTTGGGCAACTGGCCCACATGGTCAACTATGTGGTTTGAGTCCCGGATCTGGTGGTTTGAGAAACATGTCCAGTGCATGTGCGTGCCCCAAATCCTGAGAGGAGCGTGGAAGAGAAGGGACTGTGGCGGGGCCAGCCCTCCAGGGGGGTGCTTTCTCACTTTCCCTCTCTTCCTCTGGCAGGCATGGGCACTCTATAGTAAAACTAATAACAACAGTGTCGTATAGGAATGAGAGCAGGTGCTATAAAGACAATAAAATGGGGTAGGGTGGTAGAGTGGCCAGGGGTGCTGCTTATTTGTAAAAATCTCTACTTCACCAGATTGCTGTTTGATGTGACAATTATATACGATGCTACATAGGAAGCATTTAGCATGGTGCCTGGGACCGAGTGTGGACAATGTAACAATGACCGCGTCCTTGTTATGTGTTAGATGATAAAGGCCATTCCAAACGCTATAGATAGACTAATTCATGTCATGACCTTGTTTCCCAGAGGAGGAAACTGAAGCACTGGTAGACTGAATTATTTACCTAAAGTCAGGGTGTTAACTGAGGGTAGGATTGTGACTGACATTCTGACATTCAGACATTCAGACACGCTGACATTCTGCCTCAGAGCTTATTTATTATTTTTTTTTAGAATTATTTAATTGAATTAATATTTTTAAAAAAAGATTTATTTATTTAGTTAGTTCCATTCGTTATTATTATTATTTTTTAATTTGACCAGAGACAGAGAGACAGAGAGAGAGAGAGAAAGGAAAAGTGAGAAAGTAAGCTGCCAGGTCCAGGACTCGAACTGTGGTTGGTCATGTGGGAATCCAGCACTTTTAACCACCGCACCATCTGCTGGCCCCTATAAATTAAATTTTGCTATAGGGCGTATACACTCACCAGAGAGAGACAGAGAGAGAGAGTGAGTGAGAAAACAAGCTTCTAGGTCTGGGACTCGAACCGTAGTCAGCCATGTGGGAGTCTGGCGCCTTAACTACCACACCAACTGCCAGTCCCCCAGAACTTACGTTTAACTGCTTTACCAAGTATTAGTGTCTTTCTCTGTCTTGTGTACCTTGATTTATGCAGGATGAATCTCTCTTTATGGGGAGAACGAGAAGGGTAACTTTACTTTTGTTGGAGGTTGGGAGGCTAAATGGCTAAGCTATAGCAGCTCACAGAGCAGGTGCAGGGACACCGAGAAGGTCAGTAATCACGTAGGCTGGTGCTATTAGATGACAAAGTTCAGAACAGCTGAGGATAATGGAGTCATAAGATATGGGATGGAGAGGGTGTCTTAATTGGCTTGGGCTGCCATGACCAAACACCATAGACCAGCTGGCTTAAACAACAGACATCATTTTCTCGTGGTTCTGGAGGCTGGATGTCCAAGATCAGGATGCCAACACAACTGCGTTCTGGTGAGGGCTCCCTTCCTCACATGGCTGAAGGTGAGAGAGAACAAGTTCTTGATGTCTCTTTTTATAAAGGCACTAATCTCATTGTGAGGGCCTTACTCTCACAACCTCAGCTAATCACCTCCCCAAGGCCTCATCTCCAAATACCATTACAGTGGGGTAAGGGCTTCAATATATGTATTTGGGGGAGTGGACACAATTCAGTCCATAGCAGAGAGAGGATGAATAGGACATGAGGGGATCTTATTCCCAGCATCTAGATTTACAAAGCTTTCCCTGGGCAGAAACCTAACAGAGGTGAACCACAAGAGGAAAAAATGTGAACTCTTGAATTAGATGCCCAAAATGGCAAAGCCCAAGGTGGAAGAAAATATTTTGAGATGAAGTGAACTGCAACCTTAGTCTGAGGCAACAGAACTTTGGGGTCGCCAAAGGGGCTGACTTTTCTCCTCTGGTCAAATGCAGATTCCTGGGACAACATTATATTGGGCCATCAGAAAAGTCATGATGTATTTTTATGTTTTTGTTCTTTCTTTTTTTTAGGGAGATTTTTGCTATAGGGTGCATGTGCTTGCTGGAGAGAGAGACGGAAAGTGAGAAATCACCCCTCACAGGGATGGCTACGCCATAATTTCTTCCTTCTCCTGTATTCTCCTGTCAGGATTTTGGGCCTGCATGAAGCATGTGCCCAGTGTGAGCTTTAAGCTGCCAGGTCCCTGACTTGAATCACAGTTGACTACATGGAAGTCCAGCAATGTAAACGTTACACTGTCTGCTGGTCCTATTTTTCTTTAAAATAATTATTTTATTTTAACTTTATTTATTTATTTAAATTTGACCAGAGAGGGACAGAGCGAGAGAGCAAGGGCAAGAGAGAGAGCTCGAACTGCAGTCGGCCATGTGGGAATCCAGCGCCTTAACCACCATGCCACCTGCTGGTCCCCACTTTTTGTTTTTCTATGCAAAAATACATCATGATTTTTCTGACAATCCAATATTTTGACACTCCTCACAGCAATTCTAAGGTGTTATAGAAGGCTTGACTGTGTCTCCTTAACACAAATCCTACTGTTTGTAATCTGCTTCCTCAGGTATTTTTTTGTTAAGAATGGTTTACTTTATTTATTTATTTCTTTGAGAGGTTTTTTTTTTTGTTTTTTTGTTTTTTTGTTTTTTTTTGCTATAGAGTGTGTGTGCTCGCCAAGGAGACAGAGAGACACAGAGAGATAGAAAGTGAGAACTCATCCCCCAGGGGGATGGCCATGCCACAATCGCTTCTCCTCCATTCTCCTCTTGGAATCTTGGGCACACACGCACACGTGCCTGGCATGAGTTTAAGCCACTGAGTCTGGGACTCGAACTGTGGTTGACCACATGGGAGTCCAGCGACATAGCCATTATGCCAACTGCTGGTCCCTTATTATAGTTTTTCTTATAATTTTAAAATTTGATCAGAGAATCAGTGAGAAAGTGAGAAAGCAAGTTGCCAGATTCAGGACTTGAACCACAGTCAGTCATGTGGGAGTCCAGCACCTTAAACATGCCACCTGCCAGCCCTAACTCAGATATTTTCAAACGGGCTGAGTCAATTTTTCTTTTTAAAGAATTATTTATATAATTTTATTTATTGTTATCATTTTTTAGTCTGCTATAGGGCTTGTGCACTCAGAGACAGAGAGAAGGAGAGGAAAAGTGAGAAAACAAACCACCAGGTCCAGGACTCGAATCATGGTTAGCTACGTGGGAATCTAGCACCTCAACCACCACACTACCTGCTGGCTCCAGTCTCAGTCATCTTGTTTATGGGCTTTATGAGACACTACTATATTAACTATATTAATTTTTTCCTTTGAGAGAGATTTTTGTTATAGGATGTATGAAGCTACAGAAGAGACCGAGAGAGACAGAGAGACAGAAAGTGAGAAATCATCTCCTGTGGGGATGGCCACGTTACAATCCCTTGTTCTTCAATCTCCTCTTGGGATTTTGGGTATGAACACACATGTGCCCAGTGTGAGTTGATTTTTTTTTTAAAAGAATTATTTTATTTAACTTTACTGATTTATTTTTATTTGATCAGAGAGAAACAGAGAGAGAAAGAAAGCAAGAAAACAAGCGCCAGGTCCAGGACTCAAACTGTGGTAGGCCATGTGGGAGTCCAGTGCCCTTTACCACCATGCCACCTGCCAGTGTGGGTTTTAAGCCACCAGGTCTGGGACTCAAACGGTGGTTGACTATGAGGGAGTCCAGCATTGTAACCATTACACCATCTGCTGGTCCCCCAACTATATTAAATTTTGACTATTTTTTTTTATAATTATTGAATTTTTATTTATTTATTCATCTATTTTATTTATTTTTTGTTATTTTAAAAATTATTTTATTTATTCATATATTTATTTTAATATGACCAGAGAGAGACAGAGAGAAAGAGAGAGAG